TAAAATAATTGTTTGGTGGCAAATTCTCAATTTTATTCTTTATTGTTATGTCAAAATTATGTCATGAATATACAAATGTCATTTTGACACAATTCATTCATAAAACGTCATTCAGTTATTATCTCTAAGCACTCTACGATACCATTCGTAGGACAAAATATAATGTTTTATAAATAAAAAACTCTGTTTCGAACTCAAACATAGTGATGGAATGATCATTTTCAATTCCAATTGCAAATATTTCAAGTTGATCGCTTTTATTTGAAATATTGGCAATAGTTCTTGTAAAAAGTATATATACTAAGTCTATATCGTACTATACAATCGTAACAAGGTAAATTTGACAAGTGGTCGTGTGGTAATAATTCAATTCAATTGTGTAATTTTAATGTTTGTGATAAGAACGCAGAAATTATGAAAAGTTTAAATAAATTGTGGTGCATGTATGTGTGTGAGTGTGATGTGAGAGGAAATTAACCATTTTTGTCGATTTTCATTTAGTATATTGTTGCTACGTCTCGAATTTCATGACGTCACAAAATATAGGTCAAGGTACAAGGCCTTTGTCATTTTTGCACATGCTCGCTGCGGTTTGTTTACATTTTCTTTTGCAGCGAGTCACGCGTTTTTTTAATTTTTCACGAAAACTAGTTTTAGCAAATTACGGAAAATAGTTCCGATGAAATGTTCAGTACACAGTATTGGCCTCCGCATTCTAAATCATACGGAAGCTAAATTCGTCATTCGTTCCGTTCGGTTTTCATTGCCACGGCCGAACGTATACGAATTTAGTGATTACATTACTTTTTCTACAGTATTATTGGAACACACAACTGAAATTGAAGAGCTCTTAAAGCAAAACGAACGATATTTTGAAGAAAAAAAGTATTTAATTTAAATTCAATTATTGTTGGTGAATTTGCAAAATTGTTAAAATAAAAAGCATTTGTAATCAGATAGAATTGATAAGAAAAATTTGGTAAGCAAAAATTAAGCTGATGTAATGTTTGTATGTGGGAGTGTGTTATGTGTGTAGTTAGGAATTTAAGCATTTTAAAAATTCATTCGCAATAGATGTGCATGCAAATCGTGTGACTAATCTTTTAGGATATTATTAGTTCCCAGTACAAAAACCAATACAGGAATGGCATTGAGCACAGCTAAACACTTTTTCACCAAATATCCTCTGGCAAGAGGAATGCTTGCGTACAGTATAACGTGGCCAACAGGAAATTTAATTCAACAGACAATTGATGGCAAAAAATGGGGTAATTCTCCATAATCATTCTCTCATTTAGATGTGTTTTTTTATTCATTTCTCAATTCATTCATTGATCTCATTCAAATCATTTCATTCACAGACACTTACAATTGGAATAAGTGCTTACAGTTTGCATTGTACGGGTCACTTTATGTCGCTCCAAGCTTGTTTGGATGGATTAAGTTGTCGTCGAAAATTTGGCCAGTGTCCAATTTTCGGACGGCGATTATGAAAACTGTAACCGAGCAACTGTCGTACGGCCCATTGGCAACGGCATCATTTTTCTTCATCTTGAGTTTGATGGATCACAAAACGGTTGAAGAAAGCAAACAAGAAGTTTGTGAAAAATTCTGGCCAACATACAAGGTATCATTAATATGACCAAAATTTTGACACTTAAAAACATATATTACATTCATAAACAGCATATACTAACATGGTCTTATGCAAATATCTCACAATCACAGATCGGTGTTTTTTATTGGACTACAGTGCAAACGTTGAACTATACACTAGTTCCTGAAAGAAATCGTGTGCCTATTGTGAGCTTATTTGGCTTAATTTGGACAACGTTTTTAGCATACATGAAACAGACATCACCACCACATGAACACAATAAAGTGCAACATATTGTAGATGCTGATTAACACAAACATTCCGCCGCACTCAGAGAATGAACTAATTACCTTTATGCTGTTTTGTTTGACAATTATTAACTCATTGTATCATTGTTTTTGAAGCAATTTAATTTATAAACGAATTGTAAATGTATAATATATTAAGATGAAGACTTTTGCGAGAATGAATGTTAATCTTTGTGAGTCTTACTTTTATAGATTTTTTTAAAGCCAAATGATGCGTGTTAGAGAAGTCTTTACGAGGTATCCCTTGATCAGAGGTATGGTGTCCTACAGTTTAATCTGGCCAACCAGTGCGTTTATACAGCAAAAAATTGTGGGAACACAATGGGGTAAAATATAGTCGTTTGTAAAACTAGCAAAAAAATTGGTATCATTAAAAAAATCGATTTCATTTTAAATAAAGATTCAATTGATTGGGCCAAGTGTGTTAGGTTTTCTATCTATGGTGGTTTCTATGTAGCGCCGACACTTTACACATGGATTCGAATATCAAGTCGATTATTTCCACAAAACACACTCCGAGCGGCTGTATCAAAAGTATATAAACCAGATCCAATTTTCGAAAAAAAAACCAAATAAAAATTTTTGTTAAATAAAATAATAATAATTGTAGGGTTTGCTAGAACAAATCTCGTATACCCCAATTGCCATGACGAGTTTTTATTTTCTCATGAGTTTACTCGAAGGCAAAAGTATAGAAGGTGGAGTCGATGAGGTGAAAAGTAAATTTTGGCCAACATACAAGGTACTCATTGATATATTACTCGAAATTAATGTGTGTATATCTCATGAAAAATATTATTTCAAGGCTGCAATGTGTATATGGCCGGCCGTTTCGACGTTCAACTTTGCATTGGTACCCGAAAAAAATCGTGTTGTTTTCATAAGCGTATGTAGTTTAATGTGGACCTGTTTCTTGGCTTATATGAAACAATTAAGTATCGAAACCGAAACTAACGCTTCAAATACAACACAATTCGAACAACACAACAACTAGTCATGTTCGAAAATACGTTTATTTCGAAATGTCACTTTTGACAGTTCGCATTAAATTGTTTAGTCAGTAAGTTAGTACATTTTATATAGTACACATTGACATCGTAAATAAATCAAAAGGTCACACAAAAAAAAAATAGATTTTGTATAAAAAAAAACCGTAAAAAAGTATATTGATCGTTAAAAGATACAATGGCCGACACATTTGACGAAGAGATTCCACAAGTAATTTATACAGAAAATGTGGCCTTTGATGATAGTGACGATAGTACATCCGAAGCAGAGACACGGCCAACGGACGAACCTGCAACTGAAAATCGATCCGTTGATTTAAAGCGAAAAGCAAACGATGAGGATGCATCTGAAGAGCCAACGACAACTTTTTGTGAAGTTGATAATCATACAAACGTTGTGGCCACACATTATAACCAATTAGAAGAAAGAGGTCGAGCCGAACGATCAAAGTCCCGTATATTTCATATGCGAAATTTTAATAATTGGATCAAAAGTGTTTTGATCAATGAATTTTTGTCAAAAGTTAAAGAATTTGTTAAGCTTGGCGAACCATTGCGTTCGCTTGATATGTGCTGTGGAAAGGGTGGTGACCTATTAAAATGGGAAAATTCAGGTATAACGCACTTAATCTGTACTGACATCGCCGAAGTGAGTGTTCAACAGTGCGAAGAACGATACAAAACGATGATTGAACGAAATCAAAGAAATCGATACCCGAAAAAATTATTTACAGCCGAATTTTTTGCATCCGATTCAACATTGCAGCGATTACGCGAAAAATATAAAGATCCATCGATTCGATTGCAATTGGTTAGTTGCCAATTTGCATTTCATTATTGTTTCGAATCGCTTACACAAGCCGAATGCATGATAAGAAATGCAGCTGAATGTCTGCAACCCGGAGGATATTTTATTGGAACCATTCCCGATGCAAATGACATTATGAAACGACAACGTGAGGCCAATAGTGATGAATTTGGGAACGATATTTTTCGCATTAGTTTTCTTTGCGATACAGAGACCCCACCACTATTTGGAGCCAAATATAATTTTGAATTGGATGGAGTCGTAAATTGTCCAGAGTTTTTGGTACATTTTCCATTATTGGTTAAGTTGGCGACGAAATTCGGACTCAAATTAGTTCTGAAGGAACGTTTTGAGGACTTTTTTGAAAGACATAAAAATACATGTAAGCTTTATTTTTGATTTGAAATTTTGGTAAATGAGAAAAATAAATTTATATTCGTAAATTTGTTCTGTAGCCAAGGGTCTATTGGAGAAAATTAACGCATTAGAGACGTATCCTCCGTTTAATCAAAGAGAAGCAGCTGATTTGAGTGTATCACCAGAATACGCTCATGTGAAAGGCTATTCAAAGGGTCGAACATGTGGCACTCTGTCAAAAAGCGAATGGGAAGTTAGTTGTAAGTTCATCCGGTTGACCCAGACCAAACTGAATCAAATGTTTTATTTAACAATGTTTTTTTTTTCCCTTTCATAGCGCTATATTTAGTATTTGCCTTCCAGAAGATGAAGGAAGCATAGATCAAGGCCACCATCAGCAACATTCAATACATAGGTTAAATGTGAATCAATTTTGTTTTTCATATTTTGACATCGAAATAAATTTTACTCTCATTTTCACATTAAATGTTGTTGTTGTTTTTCTTAACATGAATAAAAAATTGATTTTGTGAATAAAAAAAATCGTGTAAGATGCGAACTACGTGTACGTTTGAACGCATTGAATATCATTTAACAATCATTCGCAATCGCCTTATTAAAATGCGTTCTTCACCGCAAATCCATTTAACCGGCCGCACAGATGACACATGTCAGTGTTTCGAACTCTGTTTGTCACATTCGACAGAAAAGAGTAAAAGCACCGATTGTAGATATCAGTTCTTCTTTTTTCGAAAGTTTCTATTAAATTTCGTTGTTTTTGTCGTAATTTTTTTTTGTGGCTAGAAAATACTCACTTTTCGACTAAAAATTGTGAAAATTAATTGAAATTATTATTTTAGAAAAGAAATTGAAATCACAGAGAAAAATTGAAATCAAATGGTGAATGGTTGGTTTACACGAAACCATTAGATAACCCATACTTAAATCATGTAACACTCTTTCTCTGTCTGTCTTGAGTGCACATACAGTCGAGTGGTATATTCGAACAAGCGAACGCAACGAAGGCGATTGTGTGCGGTCGAATGCGTTGTATTTGTATCGATGCGTTTGTCGCGTTTGCTGGGACTTAGAAAATTTCTCGTTCATTTACCTTCACGAGTCGCTCCGAAGAAGGTTGAAAATTTTTCAATCAGTTGTGAGAATTGGTACAATTTTTGTGAACTTAGAAAATTTTCGGTGCTATTGCCAACAATGAGCATCGAAAATCCAGTTGTCGGCGGATCTTCGGATTCGGTAAATAAAAGAAATTTACATTATTTTTAATTTGGAACATTTTTTCTTAATGATTTTTTGGCGAATTCGGTGTATTAATGGTACTTTATTTGTGAACGTGAAAAATGGCGACGAACGACTAAGTCTTACGACGTCGTCCATATTGTTCTATCACTTGTTAAAGCTACATACGAGAAAAGAAAGAAGATCGAAAACGCATAACGCTGTGTAGTACAGCACAAAGCGTAATGTATATGTACGGTAGAGACAGTGAAACGATTAAGTGCGACGAACATGTAAAGCAACAGTAGCAGAAAATATATATATTGCCAATGAAATTTCATTGAAACAATATACAATTCAACATTTAGTTTGTTTTTTTTTTTTCGTTCAATCGTTAAGCACAAAATATAGTTGCTTTCATCGTCGTTTGGTGACTGGAGTTCAGTTTTTTTTTTGTATCATCTGTATATTGTGAAATTGGCATTTGTATCAATAAATAAAGTGCTTGTTTAATGGTATATTTACCAATTTATGTTTTTTTTTTAGTCTCGAGTTTTCGCTAAATTTGTATGTGTGATTTTTTACTGACGCGTCTCTTTGAACATATAAACTGTACTCAATGCAATTATATATGTGATTTTTTTCATCTTCTTCGCTGGTATTGTGTGTTCTGATTTATACTCAACTGTAATTTGTTTTCTGCAAATCAGGAAATTAAAACAATGAATGGGCTAAATGGTGTGAGTAATGGACACTCTGTCGTGAGCAGTGCTAACTCCGACGTTAAGGAGAAAACGAAAAGTAGCAGCAGCAGTTCGCATCATCATAAATCGTCGAGTAAGGATAAGCATCGTGACAAAGATCGAGAACATAAAAGTTCGAAGAGCAGCCACTCGCATTCCAGCAGCAGCCACAAGTATGACAAAACTCTCTCTAAAGAAATATTTTTATACGTTAATTTGTGTGGCAATTTTATTACCATTTTTTTTTTTTTTCAATTTGTGATTACGATTATTTTTTTTTTTAAATTTCTAATTAGATATTATTATTGTATTTATTATTTTTCGGTGTACAGAGATAAACATCATTCGTCTAGCAGCAGTTCACGTCACGATAAAGATAAACATTCAACGGATAGACACAAATCCTCGTCTGACAAGGACAAACACAAGAGTTCATCATCTTCTTCGAAACCCCACTCGAGCAGCAGCAGTGGAAAGTAAGAAATATTTTTGTGGTGAAAAATCGAGCACATTTTTTTTCTCATTAAAATACGTGTAATTACTAATAGGGACAAGCATCGTGATAAAGATCGAGAGCATAAAAGTTCGAAGAGCGGCCACTCGCATTCCAGTAGCAGCAAGTATGTGTGCATTCAATGTCTTTTTAAATCAAACGCCGAATTAATCAAAATTATTATTTTGTTAACAGGGACAAACATCATTCATCTAGTAGCAGCTCACGTCACGACAAAGACAAATCTGACAAAGATAAGGACAAACATAGAAGCTCATCGTCGAAACATCATTCAAGCAGCAGCAGTGGAAAGTATGTTAATCTGTTAAATTAATTGAATTGAGCTCAATTCTAACGTAGCATGTGTTTTTTTTTTTCAAAAGGGACAAACACCGCGATAAGGATAGAGAGCACCGTGATAAGGACAAACATCATTCATCGAAATCAAGCGGCCATGATCGTCATAAAGATCGAGAGAAAAAAGCTAACGAAAATGGTGTGGAACATATTAAAACGGAGCCGATTGCTGTCATCAAAGAAGAGCTACAAGATCCATTAGACATAAACAACTTTTCATTTTCCGAAACGAGTGCAATCGAAGCAAACGGCATTCGAGAATGTTTTGTAAATGTATCGCAAATTTCAGAGACTAGCTCATGTGATTATTCTATGTCTCAGTTTCGAGCCGATGAATCGCAGTTCTCGGTCAAAGGTGATGATGATAGCCAGAGGATCGTAAATTTTGAAGGCACTGTGAATGACACACTTGATGACCAATATGATGACGAGGACATGCCAATTGCACAGCGTAAAAAAATTAAGCGTGAGATATCTGATGATGAGGACGATTTGCCATTGAATGCTCGAAAGAAGCCTAAAACTGAGAAAAAAGACAAGAAAATTAAACGTGAACCAAGCGATGACGAAGACGACTATGACAAACCGAAAAAGAAGAAAATCAAGAAGGAAAAAGTAATGCTTTTTCATCGATTTTATTTTGAATAGTTTTTAATCGATTTTTGTTATTGTGTATTCTATAGAAAGTAAAAGTAGAAATCAAGACGGAAACAGCTTCACCCGAAAAGAAGGGCCGTAAAAAGAAAGAAGAAGAAAATCAAGAGGTTTGGAAATGGTATGTTCAAAATCATGTTTTTTTCTCAAGACTTTATGGATTGCAGAGAATACTGAGGAAATTTTGCCTAATCGATTTTTTAGGTGGGAAGAAGAGAAACCACAAGATGGCACAAAGTGGTCATTTTTGGAACATAAAGGTCCTGTATTTGCACCTGCATATGAACCATTGCCAGGCCATGTTGCCTTCGAATATGACGGTCAACCGATGAAATTGTCGCAAGACGCCGAAGAAATTGCCGGTTTCTATGCTCGAATGTTGGAACATGATTATACATCGAAAGACATTTTCAATAATAATTTTTTCAAAGATTGGCGAAAATCGATGACGTCAAAGGAAAGAGAGAAAATCACCAAATTAGAACGTTGCAATTTCCGAAAAATGGCCGCATATTTCCAAGAGTTGTCCGAACGAAATAAGAATCGCACAAAAGAAGAGAAGCTAGCAATTAAAGAGGAAAATGAAAAATTGATCAACGAATATGGATTTTGTAAAATCGATGGTCACAAAGAGAAGATTGGTAATTTCAAAATTGAACCGCCAGGCTTGTTCCGTGGTCGTGGCGAACATCCAAAAATGGGCTTGGTGAAAAGGCGTATCATGCCCGAAGACGTAATGATAAATTGTTCGAAAAATAGTGTAATTCCTGTGCCACCAAAAGGCCATAAATGGAAAGAAGTGCGTCACGATAATACCGTTACATGGCTTGCATCATGGACCGAAAATGTTCAGGGTCAAGTGAAATATGTGATGTTGAATCCAAGTTCAAAATTAAAGGGTGAAAAAGATTGGCAAAAATACGAAACGGCTAGGCGTCTACACAAACATATTGAAAAAATTCGCAGCACCTATCGCGAAGAATGGAAATCGAAAGAGATGCGCATTCGTCAGCGCGCTGTTGCATTGTATTTCATCGATAAATTAGCTTTGAGAGCTGGTAACGAAAAAGACGAAGACCAAGCCGATACGGTTGGCTGTTGTTCGCTGCGTGTCGAACACATTGAACTTCATAAGGAGCTCAATGGAAAAGAGAATGTTGTTGTATTTGATTTTCTCGGTAAAGATTCCATTCGTTACTATAACGAAGTTGAAGTTGAAAAACGTGTTTTCAAAAATTTGGAACTATTCAAAGAAAATAAAAAAGATGGTGATGATCTATTCGATCGCCTCAACACTGTTGTCATGAACGAGCATTTGCGCGATCTCATGGACGGTTTGACAGCCAAAGTGTTCCGTACGTACAATGCATCATGGACACTTCAAAATCAATTGTTAGAAATGACCGATTCCAGCGCTTCGATACCAGAAAAATTGTTGGCATACAATCGTGCCAATCGGGCTGTTGCTATTTTATGTAACCATCAACGTGCTGTTCCCAAGGGCCATGAGAAGAGTATGGAAAATTTGAAGGAAAAGATTCGGGCAAAGCGTGATCAAATTGACGATTTAGAAGTCGATGTCAAGGTAAAATTGAGTCTTTGGATAAGTTTAGAGCCATCGTTTTTATTTGGGGACGAACATTTTAAATGGATTTTTTTCTTTTTAATTAGGATTGTGTAAAAGCAGCCAAACGAGGCTCTGTCAAAGAGAAGGTGATTGCCGACAAAAAGAAAAAGCAATTGGAAAAACTAAAGGAGCAGCTGAAAAAGTTGGAATTACAAGAGACTGACCGAGATGAGAATAAAACAATTGCATTGGGAACGTCAAAATTAAATTATTTAGATCCACGGATATCGGTGGCATGGTGAGT